TCGCAGAATCATGTGGACTAGAAAAATGCAAACTAAACTTTGCATCGTGGACTCCATCATCTTCATGTGAGACGCCTCGAACTCAGTTTGTTGTTTCTGCAGAATAGTCAGCTATTGTCCTGCGGAGATGAACATAGGGAGTTCTGAATCTGCGTCAAAAATTTTTGTAAAGTTAGCCAAAGCCGAGATGTCAAAGCCTATTCGCGCCTTGTGTGAGTCCCCAAGGAAGAATACGACGCGAAGAGCGAAAAAAACAGAAGTCTTTGAGAGTTATTGGTACAAAATATTTAGGATAACAAATGCGTGTAAAGCTATGTGCACCGGGCCAATCAGACACCAGTTAACTAAAACAATTTCAAGCGTCTATAATTTCTTTCCGTTTTTTGATTTTTCCCTCACCCAAAAGTGCCCTGGTTTACCTCGCTCCTAAAATTACCATTCCTAATGAATTCCGTAAGGAACTTAGGGGGAGATAAATTATTCTCAGGCGGCCTCACAAGAAAGTCTTTCAAAGTCCCCTAACTCATCATTGGAAGATAGTAAAAATATTAGTGAAATATTTAAATTCATTTCGGAATCCGGTTTCGAAGTTGGAATTGTCGAAGAAGATTCTAATTACCCCGAAATCGACTGGGTTTCCAACTTCTGTCCACCTAAATTTCAGCCTTACCTACATAACATTAAATTTTTAAACTAGTCTCAGATGGTCCGCTCTGCAACGAGAGCGAAGCATATTTTAGATCTGGTTTTTGAGAACGACATTACTTCCCTCGTCGGTGATTTTAGGCTGGACCTCTTCCAAAGTGACCATGCATTGATTGACTGTTGCATTACTCTTGTGGCTTCGCAAACGTCTAGCGCCATTTGTACTTATCATGCTTATGGCCTCGCCGACATTAGCTGAATAAACAACTTTTTTGAGTCTTTGAATTTCCAGTCCCTTCTACATGAATGACGCTGCAAATATTTCTGACATCGGCCGTTTTTAACAAAATCATGGGTTTTGTGCCCAAATAAAAGTGCCACACCCCACTCTCTTTTGCCTGGACTACAGAAATTTACGAGACGGTTTAAATATAGATCTACTAGTTCTTTATCTGTGCATTTAAGGCTCGCAGAGGTTTCCAATTAGTGTCTAAGGTTCGTCTTGCTCGTGACAGACAGACAGAAAGAATCAGTATCAGTATATCAGTATGTTTGAGGTAAATGCGCGTTTAAAGGGCTAAACTCTGCAAAATCTGTTGCTCAACTGTTCCATGTTCTGTCATCCTCTAGACAAGGTTATGAAATTTCCCGTTACCAAATGAAGCTAAAAACTTCGTTCTCGAAGACACTGGCAAGGCTCAATTGCTTGGTGCATTATTTGCAAAATATCTTCCGACGAAATCTGAACCGGTTCCGTTGTTTCAGCCGCACGCACTCAATGTTTTCAGTAAAACCGTCAAAATGGTACCGCAAAGACGTCTTCTAGTAAAACTGGAAGCCTTTGGCATCTGGCCTTCTCTTCTCGACGTTATTGATTCCTTCTTATGTAATCGCATTCAGAAGATTTTACTAGGTAATAGCTACTCAAGTCTTTAACCGACGTTTTTAAAGGCATGGTCTTGGGTCTTCACTCTATACATAAATGAAATTTCAACAATGTTCGAAAATTCAGACAATCTCATTTATGAAGACAACCTTAAGTGTGTCTGTTCATTTCCTAAGGACATGGTGAACTGTGTTTGTTACATGGAGAGGTGTCAGTTTGTGAAAATTACATTTCTGTGATTGAGAAGACTCAACGCCGGCCTCTGTTTCCTGTTTCATGTTAATTCTAGCCCTGACCTTTCAAGAATTAACATTCTCATTCCGGTAGAGCTACCTTACGCCACTCGTAATTCCTCAAGAATCAGTTCACCATCCATAAGCTCGACGTCTAACGGTTCTCATTTTCTTGTCTCCAAATATGCTTTCACATGGAATAATATTCCACTCGAAATTAGGTTGTTTTCTGCAGCAGCAGTTTTCAAAGCCAAATTACGTAAACACTTAACTTTGAAAGACATAAAGGCCCTACTGTCTGTTTCCACCCCAAACATGCAACTTTTGGAGTTGGTTTACTGTCCTCCTGGTATTTGAGACGGTTTCCTTGATATTAAATTGGTTTCCAAGTATATTTATATTATGTTCTGCAGAGTAATTCTTCACAGCAATTTTTCGTTCTGTCCTCTTTTCAACCATCACTGGAACATATTGACAACGTTTCTCCGTTTTGCTACCCTGACGATGATCTCCATAGACTCTGGTGATGATTGTGGCTGGTTCTTTTGTTTTCGCCAGCTTACGTTGTAGTCTACAGTCCGCCAAGTTGCATCTCCGGCATCTCGGTGATGAGCTCCTGACACCTTATATACTTCTTCGTTTCAACCATGTTGTTTATAATGAGCTCAGCCTATCTACTCTCTCTGATGGATGATCCTATAGCCAGTTGGGTAGTGTTACTGTGATTGACAGTAGCCCTTGCTGTTATATGATTTCGGCCATGACAAGGGGCGTTCAAACCGTCATATGTTTACATCGAAGACCACCGTTTATCTCACTATATTGCAAAAATCCTATCAATCATCTTTTTACTTTTTATAGAAGCAATTTCGCTCCTACGTATTTTATTAAAACGAGAGGCTCGCTAAAATCTGTCCCCGCCTTCGTGGTAGGAGTTTTTTCTTTACTTCTTGCCGGGACACCGTATTTTCCAAAGGTTTGACTAATGAAGACATTTTCATGCGTGTGCAAATATCTGCCAATAATACTACACACTTTTGCCGTTTATATGGTTGCTCACGTAGAGTAGCAATTGCTCACTTTGCATTAGTTTTTACCGCAACACTAAGTTTTTAATGATGAGGCCGTCTGGGCCTTAAATATTAAAAAGTCATTAATTTACTTTATTTTATTTTAATGTTTTGCGGTGTTTTGTTCTGCACATTATCCCCGGTTGAAAAGGGTCGCAGCAACAGACGTATTTTATGAATAGGAGAAAATGGACAAAGATCCGGGCATGTGAACAAGCGCGTGACTGATGCCATCGGAGCAATGTAAAAAGACAGTACAGAAGGCGACTAGTACGTTGCACTCGATCAGATGCACGTTTAAAATATTTAGCATAATATACTTAGGAGAATCTTAAACGTGCTTTTGAGAAAATATCTCGGCTACCGAATGTCAGTTTTTAGGCCCTAAATGAAAAAGAGTGTTGACTTCCCCAAACAAGTCTAACGGAAGGCGACGAACATGTTTGACGTTCTTACGGATTTATCTAGCTACAGTGGCTACTAAGGAACTCAAGGATCAGGTTGGCTATGTAAAATTACGCATGAAAGACAGGCAATGGTTGCTGCCGCTTTTATATAATTTTGGAGTAAGTTCAAGTGATATACAATTAATTTGATGCATTCCCAGGGATAAGTGTCGTAAATAGTGGCACACCCTGTGTCGGCCGAGGGTTGGCGTGTACCAATTGCCCTTTAAGCAGCCGTAGCTACCTGGATGCACGTGTGTGTGTGTGAGAGCAAGTCAGTCAAGTGTCTACATGTGGATAACTCAGTGTAGTACCACTGCTCTTTCGTGTGTATTACAGTAGCCATTTTAGTACGAAGAGCATTCTGAGAAATAAGTGCGATCTCATGTGCCTACAAGTGCAAATGGGTCTCTTGGTAGACATGGGCATTTAATTTACTACAATCAGTAGTTCCACACATAACTGTGGGTAAAATATTGTAAGTTATATCACTTTGGTAATAAGTTTCAAACTGTGCATCAATAAGATATAAGTTGGTTGATATTACAGTATACACTGCTATATAGATTCACTTTCCACTTTAAGAGACGCAGAAATAACACCATTCACAGGAAGAGCATTCCGAGAGATGCTTTATGCTCCGTCCGCACTTCAGTCACACGCAGTTTGAATGGATGACTACCAAAATTCATCGCTGTTGTTACATCGAAGAATTCTTCAGATACCCGGCAGCAGTCCTGACCGCTTATGACAGTGAACCATTGTGTTAAGTCATATTGCAACGGCCTGTAACTTAAATGAAAAAGGATTAAGGGAGACAAATGTGTTTTATACGAAAGTGCGTCATGTCCAGTCTAGGGTCTCCAACCCCGGATAGAAATTTCCGTTGTCGATGGACACAGGTATGAAAGGTTTTGACGCCAATTCGTCATTAAAGACAGGGAAAACACCCTTGTGAAGATAGAGAACTGCCATCGCAGCGAGTGTTAAAGCGCGATCGGAATCCACACTCCTAAGTCTTCCGATAGGTACACTTCTTGCAGTTCTTTGCTACTTAAGCAATAACTCATGTGTTTCGGAGACCTGGCTCTGCCGACCCATATAATATTTTATTTGCCCCAACGGAACGGCAAAGCCAATCATTCGGCCATTGTTGGAGTCGATTAAGGTTTGCCTTTGAATACTAATCTTGCGATGCGCCCAACGATGATATTAATTGATAAAAAAGACCGCAGAACCACTAGAAAGCTACTCCATTTGACATTTTGATCTGATAGACCAGGCTACCAGGAGGTTATGCTTAAAGTTCCAAATGAACGTTTGGTTTGTACACACGCTATAATTAATCCCTTTTTTGTTTTTGTTTAGTATCTCTGACGATGGACTCCTGTAAGTGTTCGAAAGCCCACAATAGTAAACAAATCGATCCGGTGTTCGACCATCCTTCTTCTTTACCCAAATAAATTATATAGATGCTCCTTATTTCATATAAGTGGTTTGATCACTGACCCATCATTTTGAGTGTCATTGCAAATTTATGCCATAAAAGTCCCGACTAGATTTAACAACTTCATTCTTATCGATAGTTTAATCATCTTATAAAACATATTCAGAATTTGTTATACTAAACCGCAAAATAGCAACTTCTCCGAAAACATGTATAATAGCAGCGAACACGACCTTGACAACTGTTTCGTATTCCGTGCCGGTTGCATCCTCAATGGCCTTTCGCGTTGCTCTGAGACAGAGTAGGGCTGTTTTTCAGGCTACAAAATGCCTGACAAATGTAGCTCGATACTCTACAAATGCAAAAGAACTGCCATTTCATCAGATGGTGGGTCTCTTTTACGACAACGCTGCAAAACACGTCGAAAAGAAATTAATTGAAGAACTCCCGTGGGATGGACCAAAGGATCATAAAGAAAAGCATGTTAAGGGAATATTGGCGGCCATGAAGCCATGCGACAACATTTATGAATTTACATTCCCTTTCAAACGCGATAATGGATCAATCGAGCTTATCCAAGGTTGGAGAGCCCAGCACAGTCTCCACCAGACCCCATGCAAAGGTGGCATCCGTTTCAGTTCCGATTGCGACAGCGGTGAGGTCCAGGCTCTTGCTACTTTGATGACCTTCAAATGCGCTCTGGTGGACGTACCTTTTGGTGGGGCAAAAGCTGGGCTGAAAGTTGATCCCA